TAATGTTAAACACAGATGTCGAGAGCGAGCTTATATCTGTATACTGTTTGGCATCAGAACGACTGGATGGGGTTACCAGCCAGAAGGAGAGAGAGAAAGAGTGTGTATGTATTTGCTATTTGCAGAACTCAAAGATGACATGCTTCTGAAATAAACCCTGTACCCTGCCTACCAATGAGGTTTGGGAGGTTACAGCTAGATGTCAAATTCTGTCTAGACAAACTGGAATTTTTTGGTAAGGGTTTTTTGTGTATTTTGGACCACAGACATTATACTCTTTAGTTACAGATTTAATTCAAGCCAAACTTCTTATTTGATGTCCTGGACCAAAATCAATTTTCCAATATTTAGGCTGTTAAACCAGAGGTGTTTATCAATGCTGTGCCATCTGGACATTATTTTACTGGGATTCATGTTGGAAAAAGCTCTGCATGCGTGCGTACTGATCAAGGAGAAGATTTGGGCTGGCAGAGTTGTGGCATTAAAGCTAGGAGGTTAAAAAGGCTAAAGGCTTTATTAAAAGAACTGACAGTTTTCACTGTGGTCTCTCTATACTTTAAAATCAGCAGCATATTAAAATTCAGCACATAGCAGCTTGATGAAGGCCTGAAGAGACGCCTGTGAGAGCAACATTGATCGCTTGTCATTCAGGGAATGTACAAGGCCATCAGCACAGCTTCAGCCGATTGCTTTAAACAGATCCCTCTTTCAGTGTTATTAATTTATTTGTGTCCCATGAACATCTCATTCAGTGCATGGGTTTAATTTGGCACTGCCAAGCTTTTTTTCTTTCTTATAATTTGCATTAATAATCTCTCAAAGTCTCATCTTAAGTGGCACACTCAGATTTAACCGTAATGAATAATGTCATGATAAGAACTGAATGGAATAGTGTCATGGTTTGTCATTTATTGTAGCTACTCAATTTCTGCTAAACCCCATTCCGAGGCCAAACTTATTTCAGGTGCCTCTTAACTTTAAGCCTTTGTTGTTGTTTTGAACAAGCAAATACAGCAAGCAATATTTTTTTACATTTAAAGGGGTCATATGATGTTGCTAAAAATAACATTATTTTGTGTATTTGGTGTAATGAAATGTTTATGCGGTTTAAGGTTCAAAAAACACATTATTTTCCACATACTGTACATTATTGTTTCTCCTCTATGCCCCGCCTTTCTGAAACGCGTTGATTTTTACAAAGCTCAAAAAAAGCTTTGTAAAAAGCGAGGTGTGCTCTGATTGGCCAGCTATCCAGTGCGTTGTGATTGGCTGAATACCTCAAGCATGTGACGGAAATGTTACGCCCCTTACCATACTGTGATGCCCTGTCCGGCCAGAGCGACGAGACAAAAACATTAAATTTGCATTTGTTGCATCCAGTGGGGACATAATTATGGATTATAATGACTTATACTGTCTTTTGACGCGTTGCATCGTGCTGCGTAATAGTGCTGGGCGGTATACCGGTTCATACCGAACACCGGTGTTTATTTTTGTTATGATATGAATTTTTAAAATACCGCAATACGCGCATACAAAAAGTATGTCGCTTAAACAACATTCGGAACGCGACACTGTTTGAAAGGGGTCCTTTTCACTGTTGCACTGTGGTGAGGGAACAGCTGTATGTGTTACTAAGCGTGAAAGTTCCAAAGCTGTAGAACTAATAGAATGTGATGACACAGAAGAATTCATCCACAATATCCACATTGACCGCCATAAATATCCACCGCCCCCTGCCATCAGCTCCCGCGTCTCGCACACACGAGCGCGACTTTAGCACTAGATTTAGCAACTTTCTGGGGGCGTGTTAGAACGAGCCATTTTAGGTAGGCGTGGTTGACTCTTAACTTTTATAAAGAATATCTCTTTGGATTTTGAGACTTTAAATTTTAAATGGATTTTAAATTTGAGACTTTAGTCTTTGCAACTTTACAGATCGTCTTTATGCACCAAGAGCTTGTAACACTTCAAAGAGAAAGGAAAAATTTAAATCGCATCATATGACCCCTTTAAGAATTCATGCATTTGCTTGGGGAAAAAAAAAAGTAGGAGCTCTGTTTCTACATTTTGTCATCTTGCCATATATGGTGAAAAACTGTAAATGGTTTAACATTGCATTATATGTAAGTTCACTATAAAATACTGCCAAATTTATGTTTTTTGTATGTAAAAACTAAGAATTACTGTAAAATTTATGGTGAAAACAGGGCAAAAGGGCATTCTCAGAAGTCCCGGCATGACGCATAACTTTTTATTTTATATGAATATGCCTCATTTTGTTTTCAAGTCTTTATCAATAATGTACATTAGGCTGTTTTGTGCTACATATTGCATTATTTTAGTGCCATGTGTTGGTGTTTAGTCTTTAGCCCTATTCAGACGGTAATTTTTTCTCATGTGGACATCTGTAAAAACAAATTTACATTGAGAAAACTCGTGGATTCGAATGGCAATTTATTCACAGTGTAGAAGTGAGTTCTGTGATCCAACGAAACTGGGAACGCGCTGCTCACGTGGCCAGTTACATGATTGTCTGCTGAAAAAAAAAAGTATTATTTACAAATGTATTCTTATTTTTGTGTAAAATGTATTTTAAATAATACTCATGTAAAATGTATTCTTATTATTCCAAGCATATTTTAAAATATATAATCATATTTATTATTTGATTATTTAATCTCCTGTTTAAAAATAGGAAAATAGACGCGCTATAGTTGTATATAATTAGACGTGATATAGTTATGTATATTACTGTGTATAACACACATTTTTAATTGTATTGCATACCTCCTGCTGCTATAATAAAAAGCCATTTCAAATGTTTACATGCTTTTCTTCTCTTTCTGCTCCCATTCGATGTGGTGGAGCAGTTATGAGATATTGTTCTTGTAAATACTTTCCAGAATTTCAGAAATAAATATACATGCAAATTACAGCAAAGTACAACAGTTGCCATATGGTGTTTGGCAGTGATTTAAACATTGAATTTAGAAACGATTTCTTCTTGTAAACTCAGAGATGTGGATTCAAACGGCAATTAAATTACCACACAACCTTGGTGTTTCTCAAAAAACGGTAGCTAAATCGGCTCGGCTGGGGAGAGAAACACCGACATTCTGGATTCGGACGGCAATAAAATCACAGACTACCCCCCGTAAATGGTGAAAATAACTTACGTCCCCATAAGAAACAATTACCATCCGAATAGGGCTTTTGTGTGTATTACCCTGTCCACCATATAAGAGTACTGGCCATGTTTTAGGCCAATTACAGTGACCTCTAATTCATTATATGGCTTTTTATTTTACCACATGTATTTGGTGGTTATTGGTACATTTTGACTTAATTAGGTAATTCAAGTAGACTGGTATGTAAACATTAAATAAACATTGTATATGATGTTTGTAAAATATACATAAATCTACATTATATGCATTAACTTTCATACATATACACAACAATACCTGAAACATTGTCATCATATTGATTATGGTGAATTTCTAGAAAACTCAGTTGCTGTTTTTTTCCCAATAAATTTAACAGGACATTTTTTTTTTATTGTGTATCAGTTGCTGTTTCAATTGATGTAACCTGGAAAAGTATTTTGCACCACTAGTGTCTCCTATTTCCAAATTTAGGCCCTCTGATGACCTTCTGCCTGAAACGGGTATAAGAGTTTTGGGCGCTGTTACCTTGGCATCAGTTGCTTGGCAACCCCTGGTCATGTCCTGACTCGGCTCCAGACGTTCTGTCAGAGAGACGGAGGAGTTCTGACCCATGAATGAGACATTTCAAACTTCATATCCTCACAGAGCACACAAAAGCAATGTCATATCTGGTTGGTGAACCGATTGTATTTAACCTCTCTCTAGTCATCCCAGTTGGTTCCATGATTTACCATGTGAATTCATGTACTTTAGAGGATGTCTCTTCAAGGATTTACAAGAACATCAGGAGCAAAACGGTTCATAATCTCTATTTAAAATGCCTTAGCTGTGTTTGAAGTATTGACAAAGACATTTTCCTTCTGCTGCGTTTTGTTCTTAGTTAGAAATGTCATTCCTCCCCCTCATTCTCTTTTATCTTGTTTTTGTCTCTCTGTCTGGGAAACAACACATTTCATCCATTCAACATCGATCTGTTAAACTCAGCATGCAAGAGAGACCCAGAGACAGGACACATTTTTCACTCGAATTGCATTGCTGAGAACATAATTTGTATCAAAAACATTGTATTAAATTAGAAAAAGAAGCATTTTTTCCCCTAGTGGTCTCAGACTTTGACCCCACTTGGTCTGCTATAATGCTTCTACAGCTAAAGGCCTTGAGAAAACCTGAAGAGAGAATGATAAAAAAGGAAACTAGACATCTTAGCACTTAGCACTTTAGTGATTTTATGTCGCTCACAATCACAAAATCAATATTTTTCAAGTGCATGTGTATATGTGTGTAAGTGTTTTAAGAAGGATCTTATCACGCTCATCTGAAGGATGTTGATCTTTGACGCTGTGGCACCTGCTGAACAGGTTCTCCATCGGTGCTGAAATTGAAATTGAGTGATGGGTGATCAGAGGACACGAGTGAAAACATCTTCAGAGAGAGGGAAGAAAGAGAGAATAAAGCCGGTGATTTAGTTTTATAAGATTAAGCTCACTTTAATTAGGTAAAGAAGCTTTCTAAGCATTGAAATCTATCCTGAAGGCATTATAAGAAGCATCCAGTGTCTGAGCCTCTATTCTGGCATTGATTTGTGTGTTAAATGCTTCCAGTTCCTTCTGCAGTGAGTGGTGTGATATTTCAGCCGGATCAGAGGTGAGATATACTGCTGCTGCTTCTGCTGCCAGAGGTCATTTAAGCTGAACTCTAGATATTTATTTAGCTAAAATGTGAATTTCCAAACATATGGAGCGATCGTGATTAAACCAGAAGAGTGAATCCTGCTCAAACACATAATGTTCATAAATTCTAATGTTATCTGTATGTGTGTTTCTCTTTCAGATGCACCGGTGCAAAGACAGAAAGCTTTGACAAAGCTTGGTCAAAAAGGTGACGTTGTTCTTCAGGAGACGTCATTAGATAAAGGTAAGAATAGTGTACATGCTGAAAAGCATATAAGGAAGTCCAGATAAGCACAAATACCCTAAAATGCACCACTGACTAGTGGAATGAAAATGTGTGTGTGTGTGTGTGTGTCTCAGATTGAAAATCAGAGTGATCTATGAGGTTTCGCCTGAGAGTGGAGAATTTTCCTGAGCTGGAAGATGAACACACACACACACACAACATCAGGCTGCACATTTAAAGGGATAGAGGTTTTGGCAAAATCATAAGCGCCAATCTGATTGCTTGGCTTTGTCTGGGAATTGGGATGCACATTTTCTACAATACTGTTCAGTTAAGATTTAATTTTTTGAACACCAAGGCTGCATTTGTTTGATCAGAACACAGTAAAAACAGTAATATTGTGAAATATTATTTTGATTTAAAATAACTGTTCTATTTTAATATATTTTAAAATGTAATTTATTCCTGTAACGATGAAGCTGATTATTCTGCAGCCATTATTTCAGTCTTCAGTGATCCTTCAGAAATCATTCTAATATGTTGATTTGGCACATTTCTTCTTACTATTATCAAGTTTATGAGAACTGCTGTGCATTTGAATGAGCAGCCCGTTTGTTTTCTTGGGAGCTTGTTTGTTTTTTGTTTTATTTGAAGGGGTTGGAGAGACTTTTTGCCTTTATTTTTACATGACAATGGAAAGTACATGACATGACCCAGATTGAACCTGATTCCCTGTGAGCAGACAACACTTCTACATCCTGAGCGCGGCACAGCTCTGATGCCTTATTATTATATAGTTTTTCAGCTTTACAGCATGTAAAATCAACTAAAAAGTGTGGTTGGCAACTTTATGCCTATTTAAATGGTTCTTGGCCAGAATAGGATGCAATGTGGACCAGGCATTATGCCAGTGGTCCAGTCTGGCTATGCAAGACTGCACACGTCCACTCTCTACTGAACATGTCAGCAGCCCTTCATCCTCTTTGCCGTTAGTTATTTTTATTTTTCTATCATACAGGGAGAATAAAGAGAGATGGAGTGGTAGAGAGACCATTTGATTCAGGTTCTCTGATCACTGACTTCACTGAATCAAAGGTTATAAATTATGAATCAGTTGATTTATCATCTCCACAGAGGGAATGACTGTGGCTGCAGTTCTTAAACAAACCTCTCCTCTTTTATCACTCGTTTATTCTCTTCATTGTCATCAACTTATGTTGGTACCTGTGAGTTTGTTTATTATACTTAATATAGTGTAAATGCTGCTGTTTCTATGACTCAAAGACTAGAATAATCAACTGTCAGAAGGTGATGCCAGCCTGCATTTGTTTGTCTTTGGCTACTGTGTGCTTGGCACAGCAGTTAGCCACACTTTACATTCCTTTGTGCAAGTGGGATTGTATGTTTGTACTGTATGTGTGTGTGAACTCTGTTGACAGGTGTAATGTGTGTGTGTGTGTTGACAAACCTTCCTGAGGGATCTGTAGAATTTAGCCTAGTGTTGAAAAGCAGCACAGCTGCAATCAAGCACACAGATTTTGTGTGTGTATCAGTTTTAGTTTGTGAATACCTGAGTGAATGTGAGTCTGCGTGTACATGTGACCCAGTGAGATTTGCAGCATTTGGGGTATTTCATGGCCAAAAATGCAGTTTGGGACTGGGTCAAATTTGTACAGGCAGCTCAACTGATACAGCATGATGCTGCCAACGCCAAGGCCATGGGTTTGATTCTCTGTGAAGGTACAAACTGAAAAAAAAGTTTTTATAAAAAAAAGTAATACATTTAAAATTGGCTGGCAAATGGTGACTTTTTTTCTCTTCATAATTCACAGACTACTAATACAGAAAGAGAAATTTATAAGCTAGCATTTGGGTTCAGTAAGGTTTTTAAAGAAATTTATTCTAAAGCAAGAATACATTAAATTGATCAACTGTTTGTATTATTGATAATAAAAATGTCTTGTAGCAATATTTTACAATATTGCCATTTTTACTGTATTGTTGATAAAAAATGTAGCTGCAGTGAGCCTAGGAGACTTCTTTGAAACACACACACACACACCCTTACAGACCCTTTACTGTTAAATGGTAGTGTGTGCAACAAAAGCAACTGTACGATTATTAGGCTTATGATGTTAAGTATAATAATACTGAATTTATTTTAAAATAGTTTATTACAGGGGTGATTGTAACACATGTAAAAAGTATATGAACCCACTGTATCTCCATTAAGAACACACATTAAATTAATATTTTTATAGCTTTGATAATTTAATATTACTCGTTCACCATTTTTAGTTGTTTCAGCTGTTGGGCATATATGTGTTTACATTATAATTATCTGATGTGTGATATATCTGTTTTTACTATAATATAGAGGTTCAACTAAAGATTCAGATTGAAAAATTGGGTCTTTTAAATGGGTATGAATAGTTTTATATCTTATCACAACCATAATACAAATCTTAAATATATATATATATATATATATATACATATACATATA